AGCCTAATTCAGGCATTTAAAATTATTTTGTAAAAATATAGATAACATACCAAACCCATTTCCAGTAAGTTAATCCCGACTCATAGCAACCCCATAGGACAGAGGAGTACTGATTCACAGGGTTTCCTAGGCTGTAATCTGATGGAAGAAGAGCAGTTAGTGGTTTGACTGGCTGGCCCTTCACTCAGCATCCCAGTGTGTCCATCACTGCAACACACTATGCCATCAGGTGATTTTAAGTAAATCTTGGTTTATCGGCTTTGGATCCTTACAATCAACAGGAAGACTTTTGCCTGTTCAGTCAACACCACAAGTCTGTCAGGAAGAAGCCAGGAAAGGATAAGAGAACTTTGAGGATGAAGAGCAGTATTTCAATGTCTTACAAGAAGTTCCATTTTATATTCATAATACATATATGTATATTTCACTTTTATTTTCAAAAAGAATGCAAAGATAAAACAAATGTTAATGAAAATGAGACAGCTAACAAAGCAGGAAGGAGACAGGAATATAAGCTACCCTTGTAAAAATACCTAGTATTGTGACTTTGACTTGGAACCAGGTAACTATTTTGCATAATTACAAAACAAATATGAAATTTTAAAAAACAATCCCTAATAATTGAAAGCTAATATAAACAAATGAGTCTAAGTTTAAATCAAGGCTTAACTTCGCAGAAAATAATTATTTCAAGGTAATTTAAATCTAGTATTATTATTATTTTATCTTCCTGGTAAGATGAGGGTTGCTATGAGTCAGAATCAACTCAATGGCAATGGGTTTGATATTTGGTAAGCTATACACTAAAGAGAAAAGAAACATTAACAAACCTTAAGCTTCAGTAGTTTTATTGCTAGTTATATTGCTGCTTTGACACTATTGAGAGTGTTGTTTTAAAACTGTTCTATTTCTATACACACACACCAGGACAAAACAAAATAGCAACACTGCCATAGGGTTGATTCAGACTCATAGTGACACTAGGGGTCGGAGAACTCACTCTTTCTGGGAGTAGAATGTCTCATCTTTCTCCCATGAAACAAATGGTAGACTTGAACTGCTGACCTTGCAGATAGCAACCCATGTGCAAGTCATTATGCCACTAAAGCTCCTCATACACACACACACATATATATATATACACATGACAAAGTATGTATAGTAGGATAAAACTAGTAAATAATTATGCTATTATCATTAGGAACTCAAAATTCTAGCTTGAAGGAAAAGATGCTAACAGAAAAAAATTTAAAACAATGAAAAATTCTTGTGAACATCAATATAAATGCATATTTTTCTGTTTTTAAGAAAATTCATATTTCCTAATACAATCCGATGAAAAATAAGGATATTATGTTAATTCAGAAACAATAAGCATCCTTATTTTTCACACTGTGATTTCTACATAAGACCTCCATGAAGAGGAACTAGGTTTTCTGGTAAAATGGTTGAGGTTAATATGAACAGTTAATATACTGTTAACATGAACAGTTAATATACTGAAAGTCCTTCAACTCAATTGGGCTGTCGGATCCAAGGTCAAGGAAGCAGACAGCAGAGTCCTCCCTGGGGACAAGACAAAGACAAGACAAGCAGAGTCTGCTCACAGGCAGCAGAGTGGGTCAGAAACAGTCAGTAGCTCAGGAGCTAAGTAGGCCCAGATGGGATCTCTAACGCAAGAAATACACTGCGATGGAATCCACCAGCCTCAAGCTCAAGCGCTGTAAGCACCAGCAGCTTGGCAACGCAGCTCTTGAAGGAGCCTTCAGCTCTATCCGCAGGATCCGTGGATTGGCCTGGCCCACTGATAGTGTAGACCACAGGTGGAGGCAGAGAACTAGCTGCAGCAATAGCACACACACTTCAGCACACAGCCGCCACACACAGATCACCAGAGAGAAAGAGAGAGGCGAGCCTTGCAGAGCCCCCTATCTCTTTGCCCTTCAATCAAATTGTGACTTGATTAATCCTACATGCTCCTATTGGCCAGGTTGGCACAATAAACCTATCACAGTGATACTCCCTCCATCTTCTTTTGAAGGTTCACACATTATTAAATGTTTTACCTATCATTCAATATTGTAGGAGCCCTGGTGGTGTAGTGTTTACGAGTTGGGCTATAATCTATATAGTTGGCAGTTCAAAACTACCAGCAGCTCCATAAGAGAAAGACTGGGCTTTCTACTCCCACAGTTATAGTCTCAGAAATTCACAGGGGGTCACTATGAGTCAGCATTGATGCAATAGCAGTGAGTTTACTTTTTTGTTCAATATTGTAACTTGAGGCTTGAGTTTCTTCATTTCTTTCAGCTTGAGATATGCTTAGTGTGTGTGTATACTCTCCAGTCAACTTTAGCGAAGGGGTGGAGTCTAGCCTGTCAATCAGGTCATAGCCAATCATGCCTCTGTGTAGGAATGGCCTTCTCCCGAGGATTCTGAAAACTTCTTATTCCTCCCTGGAGGTGGGACACACTATCTCCCAGGAGACAATCCTGTTGACAAGCCACATGGAGCTACGTTGAGGGAGCCAGAGCCCTGGAGCTGGAGGAGCCACATGGAGACCCACTCCAGTGCTAAGATACGTCCACTGCCACTGGATCCACAATACTTTCCATCCACTGTCCTGTGATCTTCCTGCATTTGGTGTCATTGCATGTGTTGCGTGAGTCTGAAGGGGGATTTATAGACTGGTATCGGACATATGGGATGATATCGGACATACGGACTTGATCTGGACTGGGCAGGGATGTTTTCTTAATATACAATTGCTCTTTTATATAAAGCTGTTTCTTATACACATATAAGTATCTATGAATTTGTTGATCTAGTCAACCCAGAATAACACTGTGTGTTTCTTCCTCTTTCATTTTCTAACTCTAGGCCTTTGCACATTTCAATATAATATTTTACTTTGTCTTCTCAAGCTGCTCTTTGAAATTTTCTGTAGTTCTTTGACTTCATCATTTCTTCCATTTGCATTGGCTACCCTACAATCAAAAGCAAGTTGTGGATATTTTTCTCTTTCTTGTCTTTCTAATGATCTTTTGCTTTCTTTGTATGTTATGTTCTAAATGTCATCCCACAGCTTATTAAATCTTCTGTCATTAGTGCTGAATGAGTTAAATCTATTCTTGAGATGTTTTCAAAATTCAGGAGGGATATACTCAAGGTTGTATTTTGGCTTTTGTGGATTGTTTTAATTTTCATCAACTTCAACCTGAACTTGCACATGAGCAACTGATGGTCTGTTTCACAGTCAGCCCCTGGCCTGGTTTTAACTGCTGATATTAAGCCTCTCCACCGTCTCTTCCCACAGATGTAGTCAATTTGATTTCTGTACATTCCATCCAGAGACATCCATGTGTATCCATGTGTATCCTTGTGTTGCTGCACAAAGGAATTTTCATTGAAGGAGCTGTTGGTCTTGCAAAATTCTATCATGAGATCTCTAGTTTCATTTCTATCACCAAGGTCATATTTTCCAATAACTGTTCCTTCTTCTTTGTTTCCAATTTTTGAGTTCTAACTGCCAATAATTATCAATGCATCTTGATTGCATGTTCGATCAATTTTAGACGGAAGACATTGGTGGAATTTTTCAATTTCTGCATCACTTGCTTTAGTAGTTGGTGCATACATTTGAATAATAGTTGTATTGACTGGGTTTCTTTGT